GAAACATAGCAAATTCTTCAAAAACCTTCTTCTTCTGTACGAATGAGAGGATTTTGTCCTAATTTGGTATGAGGCATCCCTGGGTGAAGGGGAACCAATTTTGTATAAATGTATAAATGGTGTGTCTACTAACCCCCCCCCCCCCCCCCCCCCNAAAATAACAACACTTTGTCAGGACCATGAGGCGATCATTCCTACCAACTTTCAGTTCAATCGGCCCAGCAGAACTTGACTTTTAAGTTTGAAATGTAAAATGTTAACGGACGACGGACGACGACGGACGAAAACGGATAGCAATAGGTCACTTGAGCTAAAGCTCAGGTGACCTAAAAATACGAATATATATGTAATGCAATGTAATGGAATTAAATCTATGTAATCTTAACCCTAACTCTTAATAGTTAATAGCTATTATTAGAAAGAACACCATAATGTTAAATACATGTTCATGTGTTGTATGTATTCATTATAACCAGACAGCTAGTAGTTCCTACTTTATATCTGATCAGTTCTTTATAACTACACATACATTAATTGTTACCTGTCTTTGTGATTCTGATGCCAATTGTTTCACTGGGACTGCCATGGCCTTTGGCACCTGACCGATTCTGCTATGTACTGACCCTAACCTCTTAGTCACTGAAGGCTTGACCATGACTGACCGGACGTAAGTTGTGTCCTCAGAAGACTTTACTATAGGCTTGACCTCAGTATTAGTAGCTGTAGAGGGGGGGCTTTTTTTGGTGGTGGGCGAGACCTTGGTTGAAAGAGTCTTTGTCTGACCAGTGCCAGGCATAGATGGTGTTGATGTCTTTGTATTACCCTTGATCTCCTCCGGCTTAAACTCCTCACTAAATTCATCTGAATGAGATAAATTTTGACCATGTTTAAAAACTTTTGTGTGATTATTTTATCAAAATACCACTTACATGTTGTTCTGAGACACTGCTTCTCAATTTGCATTTTGTTTAATTCTAATAAAATGTTTCTTATTCTCATTGCACCATAAACTTATCTGAAAAAAATGACATTCAAGTTTTGAAATAGTTAAGCAAGTAGGATTTACATTTTCTTCGCTCACATGCAATGCAAGGCCATACTAGAAACTGGAATGTTTTCATCTAACACAAATTAGAAAATAATGATACACTACATATGTATTCTGGTTATCATGACAAATGAAACATATACAACTGTATCATAAAAGGTGAAGTCCACTAATTAATATAGTTATTTAAATGTGCTGCACTTATATTATGCATTTGGTGCAATCATTAGCATACCAGTTTCAGACTTATCAAGAAGCAGTGGTACATATTCTTCTTCACCCTTGGCCTTTTTAGCATCCTTGACTGTCTTAAAGGTTTTTGCAGCTAAAGGTTTTGGCATTTTTGTTGTGTTTTTGTCTTTTGTAACAATCTTTTCTTGTACAGACTTTTCCACCTTTTCAGGACTTTTCTTTTTCTTTACAACATGTTGCTGACTCATGCTTTCACTCTCAGATTTCTCAAGCTCTTGACTTTTCTGTTTATCTGAAATATCAAAGAATAAAAGTTTGATGCATGCAATAAAATAACTTTCCATTGATATTAAAGTAAATTTTCTTTTTTTAAATTTAGATATTATATAAATTATTTGTAGTTAAATAATTAATTAATATACTTAATTATTATACCTTTATTCATTAAATATTAAAATTACTAGCATGAAAATAATACCTGTTCCCAATGTTTGGAGTTTATCCAACAGTCCATTTAACCTGTCAGAAAAGAAAACAAAAATATTTTTGAGAGTATACTTTCAGAAAAACAGTGTTCTAGTTTGTTTTGGTAAAATTTCCACATAGCATAAAAAAAAGAAAAGGTACAATAAAATTTTAAGAAAATCTGAATAAGATTAATTTGAAATAGTTGGAATAATAATAAGAAACCTCCATCCCTAAGACAATCAGTTACGTCCCCAAAACACTTGAAGTTAATTCAGATTCCAACTTCCCTTTGACCTAAAATAGAAAACTATTTATATCTTAATTATCATAAACACTTGCATACGCTAATTAAAACTACCAAAATTATCACACTACATTTCAATTACATCAATCCTACAGAAACGGATCAAAATCATACTAGATTATTAAATACATGATTATCACATTGCATTATATCCTACCATGATGTGAATTTTTCTGTGTTTGTGCTGAGAAAAAGACTCAAGTCTTCTGTCATTTGAGCCTGACTTTTCTTGTTTGCCACCATAACCATAATGTAGTCTGGCAATTCATCATCTGGAAAATAAGAAAATCTGTATTAACAAGTCATTTGTTTGTTACAGCATTAATTACCAATTGGAAATGGATTAGTTTCAAGTATTTCCAGATCAACCAGTATATCTTTTTGAAAACATAATGAACATTCTGTTTAAGTCCAAACACAAAAACTTGGTGCCCCATATATTTGCCATAAGATACAGGTTTCTGACATCCTTAAAAATATGTAGCATATGTAGGTAGATAATCGAGAGTCAAAACTCAATTAATACCATTGACAGCAGCAACATGTTGGTCACATATACAGGTGTATGTGATGGGCAAATGCAAGATGTGATCAGAGTAAAAACGGTGTACAATGTACGTATTACATGTACTTCAGTAGAAATCTAAATGGTATGCGGCTAGATACTGACATCAAAGGCCTTAAATCTTTGAAAAGAGATTGAAACATTGTGGTTAATACCTGCACAGGTTCATATGACAGGTAAGATATTTGCACATTGTTGAAATCTATCCTATACTTTAGGAGCAGTAGACAGCTAAAGGTCAAGGTTTTATTAGAATAAGCAAATCAAGGGCCATAACACTATTACCATAATATCAAAATCATGGCAGACAAACATTCAAAGCTTTATGTAATGGGTAAGATGCCTTTGCAGAGGGACGATTAAATACACTCAAATTAACATTACTTTTTTCTCTCAAAAATTATAAATAAAAAGTTAGCTTGACAAGAGAAAGGCTTACCTTTACATGATTTAATATAGCCGGAGTTTCCCTTGGTCCCACACCAGACATCTGTCAAAATCTCCATGTCTGGTGTCAGGGCCAGAGGAAACTCAGGCTAGATTTATTAGAGACAAAAGGTTTGTATTCACTGGTCAGTGACTGGGACTCTATATTCTTAGATTACTTTTTTTCATATAATCTTAATCATGTTTTTCATTCAACAATATATAACAACTAAATAGATACAAGTATTTCAAGGGTTCACAGTTTGAAAATATATATCAAGAAACATAAAATAAATGTTCTTACCAACATAGGCTCCAAGTTCTATCAGCTTAGCTTTTATGGCCGACTGAAAGGAAAGGAATGATTAACCAATTTCAATGTTAAATATATCTTAAATTCTTTTGCGGTTTCTTATATCCATAACAGTTCCATAAAATTAGTTACTTAGATCAGGAAAGAAAAGCGTAATTATGTTAAGAATGACTTCAGGAAATGCAAAATAATCCAATTATGATTCTAGATCTGTACACTATGAGATTAAAACCATAACACCTGGGCCCGTATTCATGAAACTGTTCTCATACTCAAGCATTATAGAATATATGTTCAAAACACCATTCTTGTAACTCACTCGAATCATGTCAAATGATCAAAAAGTACACATCTAAAAAAAACAATACTCCAAAAAACACTGATGTTATAAACTGTACTCTGATCCTAAATAACAAATTTTAATATCCAAGACAATATTACAAATATTATATATTACTGTTGACTGTCAAAGTATTTGGGCTGTAGCATTGGCTTTGGGAGCCTTTAAGTTGTATTGGTACTAACTCTTTAACAAATTTAGAATCAAAAAGTTATCTTTATGCAAGAAACCAATTTCAGCAAGTTTTTTGAAGATTGTAACCAACAACAATAACATGCTGGTTACTGCATGTCGACTAGCTGCGTTAACATAGCTTCTGACGATGAGACATTTTTTATATATATTGCATCGTCAGAGCTACGAAGCGGTCCTATGCCAACTAATGGAGCAAAATCAAAATATTGCATATTTGTTGAAATCACGAATCCCTACTAATAAAAAAACTCTTAAACAAAATTACCCAAGTCAATCTTTTGGGAAAAAAAATAAAAAGGAACACCATGACAGCTCACGCGTGATGTTATCTCAATTATCTGTTTCTATATATGGCCTGCATGGCCAAATATAGTATGCTACTGATGCCGCCAAATTTTCATATTGGGTCATGACACCCATATATAAACGTCTGACCTATATCGGTAGATAGACGAAGTTTCCAATATAGGGGTCAATTCAGATTTTGATTGCCCTTGCTATATTAACTTGATAAAGTTTTTTTGGAAATCAACAAAATTAGCTCATATAACAAACCTATTTATGGATGTGGACCAATGTGCTGTCAATTAATTCTAAAATCACCCAGGTGTGATTCACACCACGCTTGCTCCATTACAAGACATGGGCTTGATTTAATACCAGGCCGAGGCAAAGGTTTAATTTTGTTTAATATCCTATTAGCAACTATTAATATCCTAAACAACTAAGGTAATTTAAAGACGTGCCTCCACGTGTGCAGTGTATGCGTGCTTGCGTGTGTATGCAGGGGACAGGGTATGTTGATGTGCTTGCCTCCTTGTGATAGCGCATATCTGATGCTGATCTTTCTGAAATGCCATGCCGAAGACACCAAGCACAGCATTCCGCCTGGTCACATTATACTGACAATGGTGAACCAGTTGTTGCCATTCCCCTTAATGCTGAACGTTAAGCAGGGAATAACAACTACCATTTTCAGGACTTTGGTATGTCCCGGCCTGGGGACAGAACCCATTGCCTTCCTGTTGCCAAGCAAGGCACTAGGAAATAAAAGGTAGTTAGAAGTAGAAAGAAAGATAAAGCTCCCAAATATTGCAATGGATGAAGTAGATTTATTTGGGTCACTTTTGTGTCCCCAAATAGAGGACACCAAAGCAACTCCCCACTTTTGCAGAGGGTTCCCACATTAGTCTCCTCCTAGGATACAAGCAGTGGGTAACAAGAGAAGGCCGGGTATTAATATTAGTACTACATATGGACCTATAGTATAGCTTTGCCCTACCACAACATCTATCTATCAATCACTTTAATAGTATCGTGTACCACACACTACCAACGGTGTACAGCCTCATGAGTCTGTATCAGACATTACACTTGGACTAATATAATTTATTGAAATACTGAACTATTTCACGTAGTGGAAAACATCTTATTTGTTTATAAAGTATTTTGTAGGGGAATATTTCTTTTAATTGGGTCCATAGCATGTTAAATAAATTTAAGCTAACATCGACATCACTCAAAAAATACATTTGTACAAGCATATTTATATTTTTTCATAACTCATTTACAGTGAATCATGGCCGGTGAATTATGATGCGTGACACATACTGTACAGTACTACTATACTGTAGTAGTCATATAGTTTTTTTTATGTTATTTGTTATATCAAATACACATATTTAATTTATTATTATCATATGTAAGCAAACAATGCATTAGCTGTATACTTTAATATCTCAATCGCCAGAGGAGTTAAAATGTATTCAGAAATTTTATCGTTTCCAAAACATGTCAAGAATGTATCTCGAAATTTCATAAAAATGCAGGACGTTCGAAGCACGTTCGTTTGCTGCTGACTGCTGCATTGTCGGCCTCGATTTAAGCCTTTATATACATTATATTTATGCAGTATTTACCCGGATCTTCTTGCTAATTTCCTTTCCAATATCCATCATGAAAACTTCGTGTGGTCCAAAAATTAGGTGGTTTTATGAGCCTTTTCAAAGGAGGGTCTTCCTAAACGTCGGCATCGTTGTGAGACCGGATATTAATGCTGAGGAATGGGGAGGCAACTCTAGAGAATTATAGGAACGATAACTCTCAGTGGAAATTTTCGCCTCCCTGCATACTATATAATCTTCAGGCGCATATCAAATATTTTATCTATACCTGCAAGGATTTTAACACCATATTTACTGCCAAGAAAAATCCGTGATTACTCAATCATCCGAAAACGTAAAATACCGTAGTATGGAAAATTAACACTAGAATATATTCCGTCGAAATGGATTGTTTTCTTTAATTTAGAAAAAAAAACTTTTTTTTTTTTTAATTAATATATATATTTGAATTGTTTTGATAAAGATTTCAAACATCTGAGAGTGTTTTTAAGTTAGATGTTTACATCTTTTTGTTTCTATAGGTTGAAAAAAAGTGCAATTATAAAAGAAGGAAGTGGTTAAAGATTGTTTTTATATATAATTATATTGATCAAAAACGGAAATAAAAACATATTTTTTGAAATTTAGCGAGAAAACCTTTGCACGCAGATGATTGAAGTTCCGAACACAGATATTTGAAAGTAAATTTTCAACAAGACACACCCTCACTGAACACGTAATACAACATTCAATATGTTTAACATCTGAAGTTTTCTCATCCTCCAGCTTCTCTTAAAACTTTTGGCTGATAGTGCAGGGTACCGAACACAGCTATTTCTTTTTGAGGCATCATCACCTGTGCCTGTCATTTGACTTACAAACTTTTAACAGCACCTCATCTTTAGCCATAAGTCTATGAAATTTTAAACTGATAACCGGTTTCAATAGGGAAGCAAAGCAAGCAAGTTAATCTTTTACCTAAAATCGTGTTAGTTATTAACCTTGAAACAAAGTCCTCGGTGGAACGGGTATGCGCAACTACCATAATAGTAATGTCTTTAAATTCATGTTTTAAAACTGTTCTTCACAAGTAGAGTCTAGAAAAAGACGTTATGGTATTTTTCCTGAAGAATATACGAGTTCCCCATTTATACCAAATGTGACATTAAATTCCATAGACAAATTCCGAAAATGACCTGCTTGTGAGCCTGTCGTAACGCGCTGAATTCTTTGTACATGACAAGGTTTATAGGTTAACCAAAGCTGTCTATATTAGTTTTTAGTAGCTCATCTAATATCTATGCATAGCACATCATATGCTTTCAGTTAAATTACATCTAGCCTCATGATCCAGCAGAGGTGTATATTTTCTAAACACAGAGATATGCAAGATACATTTTACACGTACCTTTTGTTTCTGATTTAGCCCTTTCAACTCAAAGCGTGCTGCATCAAAACAAATCCTGATCAAGATCGATGCTTTATAAATGTGACCACGAACTTCAATAATCCAATTCCGCATGATATGACTGTCAGTGGACGCGCAGGAGAATGTTAAGAAAGTTAAAAGGGGATAAATCGAGAAAACGAAACGATATAGCCTGAAACGTCTCATCACGGAATATAATTCCGTGGTCTCATGAATAAGCGTCGAGACGCATCCGTGTGTCATATTTTCAATCAACATTGAAGAAGGTGAACCCCACTTTTCCGTTTGTCTTTTTGAAATTTAAAGATTAGCTTCGTTCAAAATGAAACTTACATTCCCTTCACCTTTTATCGATAATCCCACTAGATGACCCACTAGTTGTTATGATATGCAGGAGAGGGAGAATATGTTCATGTTCTATTTTCACATACTAGACTCCTCCAAGCACGGCTGTCGTCTGGGTCAGCTTTGAAGGGTGTCTAGGTTCAACACAGCAAATGGCGATCAATGAACCGCTGATGACATCACTAACTATCAAAAGTATTTGCTCGTGGAGAATAACACAGGGCAGTGTCTTAGGCCCTTGTATTATTCATATGTCCACGATATGCCAAATGTTAGACTGTCCCTTCCGTCCTTATAGCCATTTTGATCTACTATTTTTATGCTGTGCTACAAGAATTAATACGTCTCTGATTTCACGAAGAAACATCCTCGGCCACTTCAGGGGTTACCCTAACAGGCGTACGTAAGTACGTAACCCCCGGAGTCGCGAGAGTGGGTATTTTCCGTCTGTTTAGTACATTTCACCTGTCAATATTGTTCGTGTAATTATTGTCTTTAGACTATATTCTTCTTTGATCAACGAAAATTTGTCATCTGCAATGGATGAAACGAATTATTTTCGTGCAGACCGTCAATTAAATAGTACATATTTTTTCTTCATTAGTCCTAGCTGATAAGTGCAACAGTAATCTTAAAAAGCGAATGCATGATATGTATATATATTGACTTAATTAATTTTTTTCGTTTCCGATATACCACGGAAGTCTGCGACAATACAAAGATCTCCACCCGCCGTTTTTATCAGTATACAATCCGCTTCTATCCGCAAACTATTTGTACAGAGCATTCCTTTGTTTGTAAGATTCTTGCGCCATAACTGGAATTCCTGTGTCTAGTTCATACATGTCAGTGATCGTCTGCTACTACTTAATCTTTTGTCTCAGACACACCTAAATATAATAATATTCCCTGGCCAAATTTTGGCGCCTGTTGTAGAAGCAGCTCTACGTACAGATGACGCAATTACTTTCTATCTCAAACGACATCGGAAAAGACCTCAAATCTACTCGATTTCCTTAAACGATATTTGGTAAACATGTACAGTTACTTTAAATAGCTTGTGTGTTTAATGTATTGATACTCTTGGCAAGTTGTAACATGTGTTCTAAAATATACTCGAATTATTCCCCTTTGTAGAAAAGGCTATGCACACAAGGTGTCACTACAGTCGTAACCCAGGGAATTGACCAATCAAGAACACTGTTATTAAAATGAAGAGGGAAGGGGAAAATTCAAAGATGGATGAATATCGGCAAAGCACAACATAACATTGGTGTCACTTGCATTATATCATTCAAATCTGTAAATTATCTCATGTAGCCAAGAAAGCGAAATGACGCTGACGGCGTTAGAGAAGAGAAATATGATGGAATGGGTTAAAATTCTCAGGAAACTAGTTGAAAGAAAGAAAAGTAAGTTGTGTCAGAAAAGTGCGTCTGCAAACGCAGATAATCTGCGTGGACATGTCTTTGTCTGTTATTTCTTGCATCTCTGTATAGCAAGAAACTAATTGACGCGTGAAATAGAACGCAAAAACAATTGGTCAGTTATTAGTTCATGCCATTGCTGTAAACGGTGTATGTAGTGGTAGATGTTCTAGGTCTGTGACATTTGGAATTTATAATTAAATAAACAAATAGATCTGCGGCATTCATAGAAGTGATCGGTTTCATATTCAGTAGCTAGCTGTATTTGCAAAGAAGAGTATTGTTACGCGTTCATAATTTTTGGTAAATTAATGGTGAAAAATAGAAATTAAAATCTGTATTTCACACAAAACACAGTGTTTAGTGAATACTAAAAATTAATCCATAACAGTATTATTAACCGAAAGTATCCCGAAACCAAGCCCCTGTGGTGCTGGACTCAGCACCTTTGGTCCATGACTGTGGTTAACAATCAGGCTGCACATGCTCAAAGTTAAGTTTTTTCACAAGTTTTAAATATTTGTGTAACAGGGAAGATAGTTGTGTGAATCTAACCATTGATCCTCAGCTTGTCTACCAATCAAGATCTAGGGTGAAACTAGAAGGTGACCATGATCATACATATAGCAATGTACAATTGATTTATGGTTATATCGGCCCAAGGTAAAAACGGCCTCGATTTACCCAAGTGAAATCGGCCCAAGGTAAAATTGGCCCTAAGTATACATGGAATATACATAAATGTTATAATTATCCCTTTCTTTGGGTTTCATTTATATATCAACCTCTGAACATATATATTTAAATTAATAAATTCCTTTCTGCATTTCCTTGTCTCAGTCGCGAGTTCCACAAGGGGAGGTAGCCTGTACTAATGTAATCTGTTATATACGTCGCGTAAGATAGTTATCATTTTGTGTGTAATCTGAAACACTGACTTTATTTAATTAGATTTAATTATTCGAATGATTTTTTCTTATATGATTAATGAGGAAGTTAGCCGATGCATACAGTCTGGTAGGCGAACATCATTGTTTGTGTAAGGCAATAAAAACAAAACAACACCAGTACGTAATTAAATAAATCCTTTAATGTATTTATTTAAATATAATTCTATTGATAAATGTATAAATCCCATGTATTTAACATATAGATACATAGAAGGGCCGATTTTAACTTGGGCCAATTTCACTTGGGTAAAATAGGCCTGGCTGATATTACCTTGGGCCGATATAACCAAATACCGTACAATTATATCTGCCACACTACTTCCCCTCTTTTTAAATGTGTTTGTTTTCAAATACTGCATCAACACAACTTCTATTCCGTGTTTCAAAACTGATGGCTGAATTCCTACTTTCCAATGCAACCCTTTAACATTTCCATAGGGGAGGTTATGCATGTTCAATTATTTACTTTAAAATCGGAAATCGTAAACTTAATATTTTGCATACTAAGCTCTGACACCAGTGCAGTTCCCTTAATTATGACCTTTTTAGAGTTAACCTTGTTGAGAGTGCATCTTGTAATTGTGGTCATCCTTGTGAAAATGTCTTTCACTATTTTATGAATGTCAACTTTTTACAAACGATGTAAGACATATTTTGGTTCAAAATTTGATTTAATAAGAATGTTGCGTTAAATTTAGAAATTCTTTTGTTTGGCAATTCACAATTTTCCGTGGACCTTAACTCAAACATTTTTAGATCTGTGCAAAACATTATTAAATCCAGCAAGAGATTTTGAATTCAGATTGTAATAACATATTGTAATGTCATTTTAAATGTATATTGGGAGAAGGCGTTGATAAGTTTTTATAACTTGTGCCTAATCCCTTGTCTAATTTTGGCAATAAATATGTTTAAACTAATGTATGTTCACAATTAAAAACATACCAATATGTGTGTTTATCCACTAGGGATCAAATAACTCTTTAAAAAAGATGACATTCTGAGTTGTTCTTTAGATGAAATCAAGAGATATTCTAATTCTTAGAATGTAGGAACAGTTTCATAGCTTGAAAATGTTAAACTTAACTTGAGGGTCCAAAATCGTGTCTCCCTCCAAAAAAGGGTGAGTTGGCAAGCAAGTATACAAATTTTTCAATAGTTCTGTTAATATTTCCCGTGCTCAGATTTTGTGTTTGAAAAATCTGAATTGTAACTATGGCAGGTTCTATCCATCACTAGATGATTTTTTTTGTTTTCATTGAAATAAAAATGTGTTCTAACTTCCTTATAAATTTTACTGGAGGTTAACGGTATTCAAATTATGCAAGTAGTTTAACTAGTTTCTTGTGTATAACCTTTTGATCTTTCAGGATGATAGTTAACGTTCTGATAGATAAGTTACACTAAGTTATGCTCTCTGCACCCCTGAAATATATATGTCATAGCAAAATTGAAGGCACAAATAAAGATAGCTTTGATGAACATCAAAGGATTGAACTAGTCTTCTAGTCTCACACTAGTGACGCACACTGAGCATTCAATTTTGCTATGGCATATTCCGGGGGTGCAGAGAGGAAAAGTGAGCGTAACCCTGAAGTATCAAGGATGACAAGACTCACCAATGATCACATTTTCTCTTTATGGTGTATCTTCATGATCAGTGAATTACAAATAACCATTAAGAATATCAGAAATATTTAACTAATGATGAAGGTGAAATATATCTAGAAAATATTAAGCTGACTTCAACTTGAATCTTTCATTAAAAAATAATTTTGCTCTATATTCATTTTAGGTAAGAAGAACCCAGAAGAAACCAAATGGGAAGAATCTGAAAAATTTGATCAATATTACAAGCAGTGGAAAGGTCTTAATGATAACTTCATCAATGTACCCACACTTTATGTAAAGGTATGTAAAATTGTATGTTTAACTTTAAAAAGGAAGGACAGTACCTTAAACTCAAAAATGTTTAGTGCTACATATGCAAGACCACACATTTTTGTTTTTCTAACGAATCAGAAAGCACTCATTTATTGCGCTGACGAANTGAGTTTATTACGCTGACGAATATATTCACGAGCGCACGAGTGAATATATACGTCCGCGCAATAAATGAGTGCTTTCTGATTCGTTAGAAAAACACAAGTGTGTGGTCTTGCTTAAGCTTTTATCACATACCTTCCGTATTTGGTAAAGATCGATACAAAGATTATATAAACTTTGATACGTTTTGCAAATACCAGGATCTTTTCAGTTCGCCATGACAAGTGGATTCCCATAAAAGGTAGTTCCCGCTAGTAGGTAAATACAACATTCTGTATTGCACATGTGCAATTCGAAATGTTGTATTTACCTACTAGCCGAAACTACTTTTTATGGGAATCCCTTTNTATATACTACAGGGAATGTTTGTCACAGTTCTTCGTCCACACTTATCATCCTACAGGACCTAAAACTCAAAAATGTTTAGTGCTGTATATATACCTTTTATCACATACCTGTTGAATCTTGTTATAGTAATACAAGCAATTTTCAGACCATGAAATACAACGTTCTGTATTGCACATGTGCAATTTGGAATGTTGTATTTACCTACTAGCCGGAACTACTTTTTATGGGAATCCCCTTGTCATGGCAAACTGTTCCCGGTATTTGCAAAAAATATCAAAGTTTAAAACATGTATGTATCCATCTCTACCAAATACAGAAGGTATGTGATAAAACCAAGACCACACACTTGTGTTTTTCTAACGAATCAGAAAGCACTCATTTATTGCATGGACTTATATATATATTCTTCCCGCAATAAACTTGTGCTTTCTGATTCGTTAGAAAAACAAAAGTGAGGTCTTGCATATATACACTACTGGGAATGTTTGTCACAGTTCTACGTCCACACTTATCATCCTACAGTACCTAAAACTCAAAAATGTTAAGTGCTGTATATACATTATATACTACTGGGAATGTTTGTCACAGTTCTACATCCACACTTATCATCCTACAGTACCTAAAACTCAAAAATGTTAAGTGCTGTATATACATTATATACTACTGGGAATGTTTGTCACAGTTCTACATCCACACTTATCGTCCTACAGTACCTAAAACTTAAAAATGTTTAGTGCTGTACATGTATATACACTATATACTACTGGGAATGTTTGTCACAGTTCTACATCCACAGGTACACTTATCATCCTGTATATCGGGACGACTGGGAATATTTGTACAAAACATATATACTAGACTTTTCCACTGCGAAGAGTAAAAATATATATTTAACTGACAAAAGGGTGAAGATTTCAAAAGGGGGAGACTGTCCCATTCTATTGTGTTTATATACACCAAATTTAAAGATGTAAACAACAATGTAAGCATGCAATTTATTGGAGTGTAATGAAGCTTTTTTTTTGCAAATGAAAAGATTATTTATGTATAAAATAAACCAATTTCATTGCAATATTTTGATCTGTTTCAGCTTCCTTCTGAAGAAGAACCTTTACTTTTGAAGCTAAGAGAGGAATCTAGGTTTGCTTTTACTATACATTTATTACAATCCTTAATGCAAAATTTGCAATATTGATAACATGATTGTTTAATGATGTGTTAATTTTGTAGCTAATTAATATAATGATTTGTTGTTGTTGTGTTTTTTAAATTATCTACCATGTTGCAAATAATTTGGCAAATTAAATTAATTAATAACATGTAAATTGTATGTATTTTAATAGTACATTGTATAGCTAAAAACCAAAAAATATTTTGTTCTCATAACTTTTTACTTTCAATAGCATATTATAGATGTATTTCTTATGCTAACTGCATGCCCCAATACAAAATAAATTGAACATGTATGAACGGAGAGTTAATTGTTGATTTCTTCTTACAGAGCTGTTTTTCTTCAAAGAAGAAGCAGAGAACTGTTAGATAATGATGAATTGCAGGTATAGTAATAATTACTTTCAAACAGACGTTAAGATGACTGGCTTTATTGAAGTTTTGTTATGTATCTAAATGAGGCAAAATCTGTAATACACAAAGCAATGAAATATAAATCTAGCAGAGTTAATGTGCTCAATCAGTAAATATCCAGAGGACAGCAGTGTTAATACCCATTATTATGAAATAAATGATGAACCAATGTGTTTTACAGCGTCTGTGGTTCCTGTTGGACCAGCATCATACACCTCCGATTGTAGGAGAGGATCAGATGATCAACTATGAGGACTTTCTCAAAGTGGGAGCAGAGGCTGGAGCCAAATGCCAGTAAGTAGGCTGCAGACAGGATTTATAATATCTATCTGTGGTCCTGCCTTTCCTTAGGCCAGTCGAAACACCTTGATTTTATCTGTCCATCAATGCAAGAAAAGTAATCGAAAGTATATGTTGAACATTAATATTAATGCATACCACCTACGGTTGTTGGTCACCTGTTCAGACATTTGTCACACCATCTCCTTAAATGAATGTTGGTAGTGAGCAACCCATATGAATAACTTTATAGTTTTAACTGCAGTTTAATTCTCACCTCCGTAATGAGGGTGAATTATCATAACAGTATACATTACTGCTGGAGGGGACCAAAAGTTTGCACTCTTTTATTCACTGTCATTTTGTCCCAGCTGGGCATTACTCATACACTGTGTCCACTACAATTGTTGAATTATTTATGCAGGTACCTAATGGGATAACATAGTCTATGTTATGGCTCTTAGTTCATTTTTGATACCAATGTTTGTCTGGGGTTGGGGGATCACTGATTGCTTGCAATACTCTGCTGCTGTGTTGGTATGTGTTACATGTTTGTAAATGATTTGTATCTAAATTTTTGGTTTTGATGGTTTTTCATTATGTTCTTTTCTCTTCAGACCAGAATAATACTAATTTTATAATTCTAATTGTTCAAAATATTTCTGTTATATATATATATATTGTATATAATATGTAAATCCTAAACTGTCGCTTAGAAGTATAATACATGAATATGTTTTTGCATAAATGGCTTATACATGAAATGTGCATTCTCAGGCAATTTTTCAAAGCAGCAGTTTTCTGCAAGCTTCTACAGGCTGATCCCTATGGAAGAATATCAATCATGCAGTTCTTTAACTATGTCATGAGGAAAGTGTGGCTGCACCAGACGAGGATTGGGCTGTCACTTTATGATGTGACTGGTCAAGGTTACCTCAAAGAATCTGTAAGTTTAAATAGAAACTGGGGAATGCATTGTGTTAACTTGCCAACAAAAAAGACTTCCATTGATATATTGTTAGTTATAAGTTAAAGTACCATTGATCAGTTGTTTACTCATCATAGCAGTAATGAGGTGCCTATCAATCATATTATTGTCTAATCTTACAGGAGTATGATTATATTGCAATTACTGTTAGGTTCAAAACAAACTTACCATTTATTATTCATACCAAACTGATGAATCTCATTCCGAAGTTAACAGAATATGTTTAAGTGTCTATTGTGAAGCAAAACTCTCTGTTTGATTTTGCAGGACCTTGAAAACTACATTTTGGAGTTGATACCCACTTTACCACAGGTATATATTTGGATTAGATTGATAACATGTGGGGAGTATTCCAGTTAAGGTTTACTTCAGTGTTGGTGGTTTTTTTGAGGCAATTACTGCATCATATGCTGAAAATGGAAATGAAATACATATGTGTGCAGCCCCCAGAAAAAGTCCATTTGAACAATATGAGGTTTTTTAATTGTAAGAAACATTTAAATTTTACTGTTTTTAACGCACATTCTTAACCCATGTTTGTCGACATGTATGTCCCAAACACTATTCCTGGAGCAAGATATGAAAACAGAAGGATTTGTTCAGCAAACTATCAAAACAAATAGTTTGCATGAGTGTATGATCAGGCATTAGGAACGGCTGGGGCCATGAGCCATGGACACTTTCAAAATTGAAGTGGCCCACAACATTTGATATCTAGCCCATCGAAATAGTTACTGGTAAAATGGCCCTTCGTCGTCTTTATCACTCTATGACATCATTATATTAAAAAAAGTTGTACTGACATCTTTTATGTGATCCTAAATCTTGAAAGAAAAGTTGTCATATTAAAAGATTACTCCCAACAGTTCTGGTCTCAAATATTCTGTCAGGTTATTCATTAACTAAATTTTATTTATTTTCAGCTCAATGGCCTTGAGAAGTCATTTTATTCCTTTTATGTGTGCACAGCTGTAAGGAAATTTTTCTTCTTCTTGGATCCTATGAGAACGGGAAGAATAAAAATACAGGATATACTGGCTTGCAGCTTCCTGGATGACCTTTTGGAGGTAAGCTATGGTGTCATGTATTCCTTAGAAGTTGTCTGTATTTTACTATTCTACTGTGGGTTTTTTTATCAGTTCTGTATAAGATGTACTTTATATAACCCATTTCGTTTTCCCATTACACCTAGTTAAGAGACGAAGAACTGTCAAAAGAAATGCAGGAGTCCAACTGGTTTTCTGCACCCTCTGCTCTCCGTGTTTATGGACAGTACCTCAATCTGGATAAAGACCACAATGGAATGCTGAGCAAAGAAGAACTTGCCAGGTTTGGTGCTACTCTGTTTTACTAGATGATATGTTGTACAGTGTTTTTAACAAACTGAAGACATTGTTTCTCTAGAGACAGTACATGTATTAGCTCTAGGGATCAGGGTACACAAATTACTAATTTCTTAATTAACATAATTTGTAAAAGTGGTGAACTGTCTTTAATTTTCTTTTTGTAATTATTAACAAGAACATAATAAGCAAACTATATAATTCTTTATCAAATTATATCTCTCAATACCTCTATTAGATGGGAGAGGTAATAAATAGTTTGATAATTTAAGTTTCAGTCATGTATGAAGCCTGGTTGAAGAATGCCACTGAACATAAGAATTTCTTTGGTAATTTTAGGTATGGCACAGGCACACTTACTGATGTGTTCCTAGATCGGGTATTTCAAGAATGCTTGACATATGAAGGAGAAATGGTAAGTTATTTCTGAAGAAAGACTGTTTTCAGTATCCTCTTTTCCATTGATAAAATGTTGAAGAGTTTGGACATTCACCAAAGTAAGATAATCATTCATGATTTTGTATATTCAATGTCTCCTCATGTATTTGTAATAAACAATAGATTGTCAGCTTTGTCTTTTATCAGTCTTTATGTTTTTGAATTCTGACATTTATCCTTGAACATATTTTTTTTTTATTATTAAATGCTTTGGATTCATGTTTTTCAGTCTGAAAATCTGATCTGACAGTTAATCTCATTCATATTTTTTCATAATATTCCCGACAAGTCATTGGCCAGGAGTGCATCACGTGTCCACCGATAAAAACCGATATTGACTTGGAGTGCATGATTTTTGTTGAAGGACTGGGTGTTTCTAAAAATAGAATTATGACGTGTCTCCAAACGAACGCATCGTCCCGCTTCCGTAGATTTTTGCTGTGATTTTTTTACGGATTGCTAACATTACTCTTTTGAAAATAATAAAACAATTGGCTTCGGTCAATACCTGGATTTATCGACCCTAGGAAAGATATATTGACCTCGGACTGCATCCTCTGTCAATATATATTTTCTCGGGTCGATAAATCCAGGTATCGACCTCGGCCAAAGGCTATAATTGAATAATATCACATGTTTTTTATATTCTCCTGAAGTTTATAGAACCTCTCATTATACAGTTATTCTTGACAGTATTATGGAATTTATGCTGCTATCACTTATGCTACAAATTTATTGCTTAGAATTGGCAGAAAAACTGATTGAAGTGGTAGCAGGTTTAGGCATATATGATTATCATAGAAGGAAAACTCCATTTTTTTTTTAAATTTCAAGGGAGTATAGAAAGAAAGATCAAATGAGTATTGGACCAATCATTGACACTAGTTTTGTATTGTCTGGCGATGAAATGACAAAACTATTTATCACTAAAATAATAATAACACTATGTCAATAGCCACATAAGCAAAGTTGTTTTTGTTCCCATGTAAAACAAGTTGTCACTTTGGTAAACATCTTTTTTGTTTCTTTTATAGGACTATAAGACCTACCTAGACTTTGTTTTGGCATTGGAAAACCGACGAGAACCACAAGCTTTACGCTACCTATTCAGAATCCTTGATGTTCAACATAGAGGTTCACTGAATGTATTTTCTCTCAATTACTTCTTCAGGGTAAGAAAACTTAAATTTTCTGCCATTCATATATTAGATAAAAGGTGTTCCAGCTCTGACAGCAGTGAAGTAATGTATATTATATTAAAGTTCACTGCAGTTAATTAAAGTTTTGTTTAATATAGACTGCTCAATTTATAATTACACCTTAAATTGATTGTTATTTGGAACATTTGATGGTGTCATATAAGACACCACTCTATCATGTCTACATTTGCTTTGAATGTGATAAGACATGTCAACATTTAACATTGTGTTTAATTAGTGCTTCAGAGTGAGTTGTGAAAAGCACTTACATAAGATAACCTCTAAAATAAGTGTAATAATTCTTTGGTGTATCCAGGCAATTCAAGAACAAATGAAGCTTCATGGCCAGGAACCTGTGTCATTCCATGATGTCAAGGATGAAATCTTTGATATGGTCAAACCGAAGGATGATCTTAAAATCACATTACAAGATCTGATAAAAAGGTAAAAATAAACAGGAGGGTACATAATTGGATTTTGGTGTACAGGTAAGAAATGTAATACTTTTGTTACAACCTGCATACCTTTTCAAGTGAAGTTGGGAGATTCTTGGAAGGTTTTTTAGCAGATTACGATAGAATTGATTATGATTTATATACTTACCCATCATGATAAGTTGGTGATTTGTTCTTATCGCCATTTGTCTGTGATCCACTCTTGATGTTTTTTGTTATCCCCTTTTCTAGAGAAGTGCAAGAAGAATCTTTCTTACATTTCATATTTGTTCATACTTTCTGAAATTTTGCCAGCTGGTTCCCTTTGTTCCTTAAAGCTGACAGTGAAATTTAAAAAGCTTTCAATTGCAATTAAAAAAAAAAATGTGGTTGTTGTGGTTTTGAGATCTTCCCCGACTATAGTTTCTAAGGAAGTGTCGACATTTTAGTTTGTCCTTGCTAAGTAACGATTATGGGTTTCGCTGGGTATAAAAAGCGCATTACTTGTCAAACCAGTTATCATTTGTTCAACGTGTGCGCAAGGTGACACTACTATACTACTATATATGTAACACTTTAATGGTTTTTTTACCAACATTTTGTATCAGTTCAGTTGAATAAAATCAAAATGGAACACATCAAAGTAGGCATTTATCTAAGAAAAGTGGAAATACATTTAGTAGTAAAATATGACCAATTATAATATAATGCACAATCCTACCTACGCTAATACCTACCTTTTAGATATCCAACTAGTTATAACCTCCTGTGTGAAAATAATACTAATTCCAATCATTTCCATGAGAACGGTTCAATTATCAAATTTCTCATTGTTGACTACACACCTGGAAGTGTCAATTTCGCACGTGTTTTGCTAGTAAAGCGTCTATACGACGAAGACACCGAGTTCATAATAAAGTTTTGTGTGTTGGTGCAGTTCTATGGATAATGCAAGTGAAAGAACGATGATATAGGTAAACAGGATTTATAGAAGTATTTTCAGTAATATACCTTTTATTTTGGATACACAAATTTGGAGAATGTGCCATAGGTAACAAACAGCTTGGCCGTGTTTCGAAGTCTTCAGATGAGTGCGTTTGTTTTTTGATATCGGTTGCCGATCAGGGTGCGTGGTGTATTGAATTGCAAGATGGTCAGTTGTAGAATGATAACTGGTTTGACAGGTAATACACTTTTTATACCCAGCGAGACCCATACATTTCAGGGTTCGAATTTAACCAGATTTTCTACTTGCATTTTTTTGCAAGTGGTATTTTTTCTTACTTGCTAAATGAGAAAACAACTTGCAATTTGCATTTTTCCAACTTTATTAGACATGTTAACTTAGAATTAAATTCTAAAACAACACAGTATTAACTGACATTTTAAATTATGGACGTTGGGATGTATACATGACGCAAACCTTGCTGTGAAAGGATGCTGGCCTGCTCAGGCTATTCTAAGATAAAGCATAAAAATTGCATCTTAGTTTCTTGCTCCATATAGTAGAGTATTTGGTCTTTTCTGTCTTTATCCAGACAACCACCATCTTGTCACAGCAGGTTTTGGGTCATACTCTCTAAGGGCAACATCAGCAACTTGTCCATTTGTTATTTTGCCGGTGCAGTGAGCTGTGAAATTTAACCTTGGGAAACCCCAATACAACCATGTGACTAGTCAAGCCTATCGTATTTGCGCTATAAATAGTTACTAAAAATAGATTTCCGAAAAACATCATGTATGCGGTAAACGTCATCATTATTTGTGCAGGTACTTCCTAACGGACATGCGCACGGGACATGTATCGATTGTAAACTTCTGTTCATGACAAAAGCGGAATCATTCATTCGGCGAATGACAAGAATGCGCTTAAATGACCGCGAGAGAATTTGTAAAGACCAACCATTAGAAATAAGGGTTATTCAGCCCAAAATTTTCACTCGCAAAAAAATGCTGGTGTCTGAAATCTCTACTCGCAGTTTGCAATTTGCACTCACTTTTCGCGAGTATGCGAGCTTAAATTTGAACCCTGTCATTTAAATGTGGATTATAGATGTTTACAAATCTCCCCACACACATTTAAATGTGGATTATAGATGTTTACAAATCTCCCCACACATTTTAATGTGGATTATAGATGTTTAAAACACCTAGATTTCAGAACTATTGCCAATGGAAAATAAACTCACACTGAGATGAGTTTAAAGAGTCTCAGTGTAAATATTTCCACACATGAGAATTTCGTATATATGCCAGCATAAGTCATGGATGGAAAGGTTTTAATTCAAGAATTGTCCATGTCACCATTGCTTGTCCTTTTCCCTTTAACATTTATGTATGAGTACCAGTTTTGTATTATTATTTCTGCATCTAAAGGCCTTAACATTGTATTTTGTTTCTGCAGTGGGAAAGGTGATACAGTGGCCAGCATCCTCATAGATCTCAATGACTTCTGGACCTATGAAAATCGGGAGTACCTTGTGCCAGACACATCAGAGGAGTCTGAAATATGACCCTGATCCAAGACTTAGGGACCATGTGCAAATCAAGTCACTACACATTACACCACACCTATCCACAAAGGATGCACAAGTGTTACTGCCGGGAAACAGGCATTGCTGGAGATTTTGGTACAACACTGCCTGGAAATGTTACAGGTTTAACTGCCAGGAACTCGATGTCTGTTCTATCCGTTTGTCAAATTATTGTAAGATGCATAATGTCTGTTGGCTGTCTAGAAGAGGAGGTTGACGTGACTCTATATAGGAGTCTTGTGCATTTCATTGTATTGCAATACAAAGGGATTTGGGGTTAAAACTACTTTTGTTGATTAAATTTGGGGTTGTATTGCCTTATTTAAAATGAATGTTGACATTTGATACATGTGATATGGTATGCAGATGTATGAGAGTTTCAGACTTACTATGGTAAGTCATAAATCGTCAGTGTATCAGCTGTAATGTATGCATTTATGTGTTAACATTCAAATAGCTATTGTTTAAAAGTCTGTTTTTCCACAGTAGATGGTGGACAAAACTTTATAAATACATATGAAATAGCACAAATATAACAATAAAAAAGTGTGAAAAAAAAGCAAAAGGGGAAAAAATGCCAAAAGAAGAGTTTTGAGTAGAATAGAGGATGTAATCCAGTAATGCTTGGGTTCTAACAGTACAAATTAGTTCTTAGGAATTATCGCATGTTTCTATGATTCTATGATAGAAACATCTACAAGCACTTTCAGTTCTAAACAGTTGTAATGCATACTAGTAGCTACAGTATAATGTTAGCAGTGTAATGTTTTATGGTGTTATAACCATGTACAAACATATACCAACCCTAGTAGAACCAGACAGTGCTAAAATGGTCAAGATCTCCCTTTTCTGTATTTAAACTTATTTGTGTAAAATATCAATCACCAGATCAAAATCTATAGTTTACGGTGTAATTTTGAATAGAAAAAAGTGTTGTAGAATGAAGTCGAGAGGATTTTACCATTAAAGAATGCTTAATAGCCAAGATGAAGTTTTAAAGCCTTGCACTTGTATAAAGGAATGAAGTTTTGGGCAATATGTAACCTATGTGGTCTTTTTTGGCTCATAAAAAGTACAACTACATATTGAATAACTAATGCAACATTAGTGTCTCCTATTTGAAGAATTATTTTTATGAGCAAAACACTCCAGACAGGTATACCGGTAAACATATTTGAGCCACCATTTCCAGTTGACATTATTTCGATGAAAAAAATTGTCTTTTCTTTCTATGAATTCAGAAGCAGGTTTATACATTGTAGTAGTTTTTGGATGTTTATTTGTAAGACCATCTGTTGTTACCTTGAGTATGCTAGATAGACAAGTGGTGATGAGCTATCCGATTTTGTACGTCTGTCTTGGGGAGAAAAAGATACAGAAAACTGGCAGCATCATAGACCAGTGCAATGGCTGTTGTCAATTGTGTTTTATGTATGCCAAAACTTTATCTCAATCAAAATCAAAATTTTATAATCGTCATGTATCATTCCCATTATGATAATGAGATAGTCTAATATGTGTATTTAATTGTCATACTGTTAATTACTTAGATTTTGTGCGATTCATTTTTCTGTACGCAGTCGCCAAGACATTAGTTGCGGTAAACTGACACTGTCTAATATTAGGTACACATAATTTGTAATGTGATTTTTGAAATCAAAATCGATGCTTAAAGTAAATTTAGGACAATACAAATATGACACAAAATCTAAGTTATCTATGGTACTTGATAAGGCCTCATTGATTTTGTATAGTAGTATTTTTGTGGTATAATCGATGTGGCAATAGTCATGCTGAAGATGGGTCCATCAATTGTAGTGTGTAGCATAAAGTGATAGTGAGTCAAGTGTTGTTTTGTGGATCGGGACAACATAGGTAGGGGAGAGTTATATAGACAGACATTTTATTGAATTCATCGTGTACAAGTTTATCTACTGTAATGGTGCAATTTGCAAAAATTCAGGTTTGTTTTTCACAAAAGAATTAGTCAAACATGAAGTCAGTGGCATCCCTATTGTTTCGTTGGATTCACCTTTGCGAAGTGTATTTTTGTTAGATTTATTTGTGTATTATGTGTACAGAGGAAATCCATTGATATAAAGGTCTAGATTGATTGTCATTAGGGAATAGCCTCATATACATCATCTGGATTGGGCATTCAAGACCAACAACGTAGTATGTACAGGTAGATGTATCATCTGTATTGGGCATTCAAGACCAACAACGTAGTATATACAGGTAGATGTTTGCTTGTACAATGGTATTGAAATGTTTGCAACATTTTTCCATTGGTTCAGTATTATATTTTTTATCGGGGGTGGTTTTTTTGTGTGAAAAGGATGTCATATATTCATGCACCAAAAGAGTGATTCTGCACAAATATTTAACCGAACAGGTAATATTCAATTTGCTGTTTCATGTTTTGTTTTGCCATAGATGCTGATTTTGCCAACATTATACATCACAAGGGTTCTTTTTTTATGGTACTGTTACAGATTTGGAGCAGATTTTGTTGGGATATTTTACCTTTATACTGTCTTGGGAAACCATGTACTTTTCTTTGAGAATTACTTGTGCATCATTTAATGTAAATCGTCTATGCAATCCACACAGTAGATATGCAGGGTGTCGATACTCTCTTAATACAGGGGTATACATTTTACTTTATTTGATTACCATACTTTATGCTTTTACTCAATTGTCGTTTCATTGGTATCAAAACATTTTCATGGCATAACTATTGTATTGTAAGATTTAGGGTACAGTGAGAAAGCCAGTAGTTCTATATTTGGACATCACTATCAACATATAATCTTGTTGTTACCTGGTACATGGTAAGTACGAAGACATTCATATTTAAATTTCCCTCTATCTGTACAAAGAATAGTTCCAATAGTATTACCAGTGGAAAGTACCATTTTGTACATATGATGTATAAGTAATGATATAAAAACATCTTGTAACTACACTTAGGAGTGTGGTAACAAAAACAAAATGGTATGATGTTAATGGTCACTTGTTAAGTAAGTGTGGAGACTAACACATAAATATTTACTAACACTAACTTGATCCGTCCATGTTCCCCACACCAAAGGATAACATTGAATCTGTCTCCACGAATATTTACTGTCAACATCTGTGATTGCAAGTAGGTATTAATTTACTGTTGAGAACTTTTCCTTGACACATGTATGAAATGGATTCTGAAAATTCTTGATTGGAGACTGATCCCCCTCCTTTTATGATGACTATTTTTGTTGTAGTGTACTATTCCATACATTCTTGCATTTACAAATAGGGATTCATTATGCTCAATTTGTCTCATCTTACAAATCCAGTTGTCTGGAAAAGGATTTATAAGCAGACTGTTTCTTAAACAGTACTAACATCAGAATGAAAATGTACTTCTTTGAACGTTTTATCCAATATTGGCACTAATTATGTGGATACATGTCATTCCTATAGACAAAAGCTGATTGTGATATTTGTACGTCGGCCAAATATCCCTGTACACCAAATTAGAAAATCCTTGAAAGTCTGTGATAACTATGTATTCACCCTGTGACTGTCAAACAGCTGTCATTGTAAAAATAGCTTGTGGGAGTTCAAACATTATTGTGGTAGTTGTATCTATCAAATATATTTCATGCTCAAAATGGTACTTGGTAAAATTTGTAGTTTTCTGCTTCAGTAGAAATTGAAAAAAAACATGTCCATTTTTCTACACTTTTTGTTTCTGTTGTTTTAAGTGAATATGTATCAAAACCATAATGTCAAATGGATTTTGCCTAGGTAGTCATAGGTATTGTAGTGTACATGTAGTGGTCAAGTCTGTCCTCCCTGACACAGGAGTCCTGGTTATGTACAGAGTATATAAAGCCTATTGCTTCCCAATCTATATCCCAGTCTCTGGTGATACTAGACCTACAGGATATATACACTGTATAGGATGTAGGCTACTACCTACAAACGTCCTTAAATGACCTTAGCTGTTAATAGGATGTTAAACAAGATAAAACCAAACTACTACCTACAGCATATATACACTGTATAGTGTGTAGTCTACTGCCTACAAGATATATACACTGCAAAGTGTGTAGTCTACTGCCTACAAGATATATACACTGTATAGTGTGTAGTCTACAGCCTACAATGATAGATACACAGGATATACACACTGTATAGTGTGTAGTCTGCTACCTACATGATATATACACTGTATAGTGGGTAGTCTGCTACCTACAAGATATATACACTGCAAAGTGTGTAGTCTACTGCCTACATGATATATACACTGTATAGTGTGTAGTCTGCTACCTACATGATATACACACTGTATAGTGTGTAGTCTATTGCCTACAAGATATATACACTGTATAGTGTGTAGTCTGCTACCTACATGATATATATACACTGTATAATGTGTAGTCTACTACCTACAGGATATATACACTGTATAGTGTGTAGTCTACTACCAACATGATATATATACACTGTATAATGTGTAGTCTACTTCATTACGAGGTCTATTATTAAGCAATTTTCATCAAAAGTTAGAAATAATGCCAAAGGCTACCGATCACAAATCCTTCATTGACATGTCAGAATATTATCGTGTAAAAAGATGTTTGATGACGAATTCTGTACAACCATGTGATTGTGTGTAAATAAAGAGAAAACAAACAGAGCTGCTGTGGTTTGTGTATTTTATTGCTGGCCCGAGTAAGAGTGCTGACTGGGTATGGTAGGTACCTGTGGGCTATCACAGCGCACCGGCACAACGGCTTTCTGGAGCACTGATCATCAGTACAGGTGACCCTACCACACCCAGTCAACCCGACCCCCCGAGACACGCATACATTTACATAGATACAAACGTGTATACAGTTAACATGGCAAAAAATGACAACCTGATTACATTTAAATTATGAAATGATACTACGGCTTCAGTAGGACCTGTCCAATCCGACCTTTCAGCTCCCTATTTGTGTTCCACGATAGTCACCTGGAAGCTTCCTGTACAGTTAACAGTAACCGTTTGACCTTTGAGTCTGTATTATAACCCTGTTTTACGGTCATCCAAACAAACCTGGGTGATTAGACAGATTTTACTGAATACGTCCATTACTTATTTAACATTAAACTTCTCTATTAGTGTTTTTATTTCACTCTGGAGGTTGCAAGTCAGATAGTAACGACTAAATCGTTTATAAGGTTTGCCCTCGGGAGTGATGAGGAATTTCTCGAAGTTCCATGCCAGGTCTGTCCTGGTCACTGGTTCCCAAATGATGCTACTGCATGATTTCATGAAGGAGGTTGGGTCGTCACTCGGCAGTGGAAGATGGTTGCGCAGGAACACAAATATCTCGGACGCGTTCTTCCCGTTCACCTCGAGTTTCTCAAATATCGGGAATTTCGGGACGAACCCGTCGCCTGGCCTGAGGTACTTGAGGGCTGTCAGGATCTCGTGGTTCTTGGTGTTCTCCTGTGGACGGTGGAAACAACCCCATTAGTACATAATATACAAAGTCATGACATGTGCGTATTACAGAGATTATAGGTGTAAAAGCTGATAAGAAATGTGAATCAGAAACGGCAACATGGAAAAGGAAACGTTAAATACACGCACCGACGCTAAGATTAAGAAAAACAGAGCCGCATGAAGCAGTATACACGCGTGGACACAAAGATGGTGAAAGGTTCAATACAGGCGCCGACACAAACATTGGGAACGTTCCATGCAGGCGTCGACACAAAATCGGGAACGGACAATAAAGGCGTCGACACAAACTGACACCAAGATAAGGAAACATTCAATCCATGCTTTGTCACAATGATAGGGAAACACTCAATAACGCGTCGACATAAACATAGGGAAACACTCAATAAACGCGTAGACATAAACATAGGGAAACAGTCAATACACGCGACGACATAAACATAGGGAAACACTCAATAAACGCGTCGACATAAACATAGGGAAACAGTCAATACACGCGTCGACATAAACATAGGGAAACAGTCAATACACGCGTCGACATAAACATAGGGAAACAGTCAATACACGCGTCGACATAAACATAGGGAAACAGTCAATACACGCGTCGACATAAACATAGGGAAACAGTCAATACACGCGTCGACATAAACATAGGGAAACAGTCAATACACGCGTCGACATAAACATAGGGAAACAGTCAATACACGCGTCGACATAAACATAGGGAAACAGTCAATACACGCGTCGACATAAACATAGGGAAACAGTCAATACACGCGTCGACATAAACATAGGGAAACAGTCAATACACGCGTCGACATAAACATAGGGAAACAGTCAATACACGCGTCGACATAAACATAGGGAAACAGTCAATACACGCGTCGACATAAACATAGCAAACCACCGATGCAAATGTTAAGGGCACTTAAAATAAAGATTGGAAAACTTGAAATACCAGATAAAGTAACAGATAAAGTAACAGATAAAGTAACAGATCAATTTTAAAGACTTCTATTTTAAATAAACCAAAGCCCCCGCTCCTATATATACTAAGGCAAAGCATTGCAAAGCAATCCATAGTCTCCCACCAGTAATAATTTCTGTATTGAATGAGCTGAACATTTATTTAATATATAGGACACTGACATACTTCCTGTACTCCCTCCCCATGCCTAAACATACTTATATACCAAATATTGTTAGTCTAGATGAACCAGTTTTGCTAAAATTGTCTTATTATTTAAAGAAAATATGTGAGGACAAAGATTTTTAACAAAGGGCCATAACTAGCCTGATGCACATCAGGGGGAAGAACCATATGAGTAAACTTTCTTTGAAATTAGCCCAGTAGATAAGAAGTTGTCAGGACAAACGGTCATAATTCCATTAAAAAAAGTTTGGGAAAAAACCCGGATGCACAATATCAGGTGGTAGTTATCATATGTGAAAACTTTCGTTGAAAACTTTCGTTGAAAACTTTTGTTGAAATTTGCCCCGTAGTTTTGGAGGAGTTGTCCGGACAAGGATTTTTCAACGAAGGACCATAACTTTGTAAACAAAAAAATGCAGGTGGTAGTTATCGGTCGATATCTTTAGAAGGAGTTTCCGGACAAAAAAAATCCACTGAGTCAGAAAAGGATATAACATGATTGGGGATATCCTTGATGTGACTGCTATATAGACATACAGCGTGTTGGGAGGACAGGCAGTGGTATCGCGTAATCTGCTGAGTCAGTTAACTAATTGATCAGCGACTCAGTTGCACTAACAATAGGAGTTTCATTAATGAGTCATATAAACGTGTTAGGTATCTGATGAGCATTGTAGTATATATTTATAAAGACTGATACACATCCTGCATCCGTGACAGGTTATAGACAATTACACAACACACCAGATGTTTAGCTTGTTACAACTGATCAGTGGGGTCAAACAGTTTACGTGTACTCTTGAAAAGTTTTAATTATACAATCGATAATACATTTTGCAAGTAACTTTTCTCTGAATCAAATATAGATTATAACGGCATGTCGGTTCAGATTTGAATTTACTCTGAACCGGTGTTTAGTTGATTGCTACCTTTACATTCCTTCCAGAATAAACGTGACATTAACAATTCACGTATCGATTTTACACCAACCACGTCCGCACGTGCTAATAAGGAAGTCGACCACTCCGTTGTTTGTACACGTTTAGTCAAACATCATTTCTGTTTCAGTGTTTTATCTCAGGTCGTGAATTCTGCATACGCCACGTTTTATTATATCCGGGAGTGGACAGATTAAAGGAGAGTTTGCCTCTAAAGAAATTAAATCATACGAAAACTATCCTGGATGTGCACCAGCATGTATACTGATACAACCAGACAATAAATCATATAAACGGTTTAGTTCTATACACAGAAATCAATATATTCAGCTAGGTAGACTAGAGCAAAAGTTACGACAGAAAGAGGAAGAGAGGAACACCAGCTAGACTAGAGCAGTAGGTACGACAGAAGTTGGTGGATAGCCATGCTAGGCAGACTAGAGCAGTAGGTACGACAGAAGTTGGTGTAACCCATGCTAGGCAGACTAGAACAGTGGGTACAACAGAAGGTGGTGGATAGCCAAGCTAGGCAGACTAGAGCAGTAGGTACGACAGAAGTTGGTGTTACCCATGCTAGGCAGACTAGAGCAGTGGGTACGACAGAAGTTGGTGTTATCCAAGCTAGGCAGACTAGAGCAGTAGGTACGACAGAAGTTGGTGTTACCCATGCTAGGCAGACTAGAGAAGTGGGTACGACAGAAGTTGTTGTAACCCATGCTAGGCAGACTAGAGCAATAAGTACGACAGAAGTTGGTGTTAACCATGCTAGGCAGACTAGAGCAGTGGGTACAACAGAAGGTGGTGGATAGCCAAGTTAGGCAGACTAGAGCAATAGGTACGACAGAAGTTGGTGTAACCCATGCTAGGCAGACTAGAGCAATAAGTACGACAGAAGTTGGTGTTAACCATGCTAGGCAGACTAGAGCAGTAGGTACGACAGAAGTTGGTGTTAACCATGCTAGGCAGACTAGAGTAGTGGGTACAACAGAAGGTGGTGGATAGCCAGGTTAGGCAGACTAGAGCAATAGGTACGATAGGAAGTCATGAATACCCAAGGCTAGGTAGACTAGAGCAGTACGTACAACAAGCAATGGTGTTAGATAGCGTGTTGCGGACTACACGCTCACTTTAATGAGCAATATAAATCGATTTGTTGATGAGTTTATCCGTAAACACGATCTGGTGGAGAGATGCAACCGAACCCATGACCTAACAACAGGGAGGGTATAGTTACATTAACAACAGGGATGGCAAAGTAACATTAACAACAGGGAGGGTATATTTACATTAACAACAGGGAGGGTATAGTAACATTAACAACAGGGAGGGTATAGTAACATTAACAACATGGAGAGTATAGTAACATTAACAACCGGGAGGGTATATCTACATTAACAACAGGGATGGTAAAGTAACATTAACAACAGGGAGGGTATATTTACATTAACAACAGGGAGAGTATAGTAACATTAACAACAGGGAGGGTATAGTAACATTAACAACTGTTGGTATAGTAACAATAACAACTGTTGGTATAGTAACATTAACAACTGTTGGCATTGTAACAATAACAACTGTTGGTATAGTAACATTAACAACTGTTGGTATAGTAACAATAACAACTGTTGGCATAGTAACATTAACTACTGTTGGTATAGTTACAATAACAACTGTTGGTATAGTAACATTAACAACTGTTGGCATAGTTACAATAACAACTGTTGGTATAGTTACATTAACAACTGTTGGTATAGTAACAATAACAACTGTTGGCATAGTAACAATAACAACTGTTGGTATAGTAACAATAACAACTATTGGTATAGTAACATTAACAACTGTTGGTGCGTGCGCACGCCCTTTCACATTTCATTTCATTCAGAAAATACACAGTTTAGAAATTAAGACTAGCGGGCAAAAACCAGTGAAGCAGGTCATCTAAACTTTCGGTATGCTTTCGTATCTTTCAAAGGATCTCCGGCTAAAGCCCTCCCCGTAAGGTATTCGTATGTAGATATAAAACTGACTCGTGTATAGATCACGTATCTCGGAATTTCTATTTATAATAATATACACTGATATAAAATATTACACTATACGAGAGGATAAAATGAAAACTAATCTAAAAGAGTATATAGGGTATTAATACTCAGAATCTCTTCAAAAGGGAATTCGTAGACAAATCCAGTTTAATAATCTGGCAGAAACTATTCATCAACCAATCATGTTTAGAATTCCCTGCTAACATATTTGAAAACTGACACGCTCATCAATTATTCCGTTAAGATTTTTGAGAACTGACACGTTCATACACTATGATCTTATCCACAGGTATTACATCACAGAGTGGTTTACCCTCGATGTACTTTTATCATTAGTTATTGAACGGATCTAAGTCCGTGGTTATTGTAATTAATTATTGATCAGGCAGAATTATTAGCATTGCATGTATACATATATATTTACTATACATATATATTTATTATACATATATATTTACTATACATATATATTTACTATACATATACATATATATTTACTATACATATATATTTACTATACATATACTACTATATCATTACAAAAATATGCCATGGTACAGATGTAAGTATCCAAGTGTGTTACTATAAATGTATACGGTACTACGGTATATTTACTATGGTAAGTTAACTACTGTGTTACCAAAATAGGTATACTACTTTGTTACTGTAACAAATATACTATTTATTACTATATTAAGTATACTAATTTGTAACTATAATAAGTATACTAATGTGTTAGTACAATAAGTATAAACGTTGTTGCTATAATAAGTATAATATTGTGTTACTAAAATACGAACACTACTTTGTAACTTTGATAAGTATACTACTGTGTTCCTATAATATATATACTACTGTGTTACTATAATAAGTATACCACTGTGTTACTATAGTAAGTATACCACTGTGTTACTATAATATTATACTACTGTGTTACTATAATATGTATACTACTGTGTTTCTATAATAAGTATACTACTGTATTACTATAATAAGTATACTACTGTGTTCCTGTAATATGTATACTACTGTGTTACTATAATAAGTATACCACTGTGTTAATATAATAAGTATACTACTGTGTTACTATAATCCGTATACCACTGTGTTACTATAATAAGTATACTACTGTATTACGTTAATATTTATACTACTGTGTTACTATAATAAGGATACCACTGTGTTACTATAAATATGTATACTACTGTATTACTATACCATTTATACTACTGTGTTACTATAATAAGTATACCAATGTGTTACTATAAATATGTATACTACTGTATTACTATAACATTTATACTACTGTGTTACTATAATAAGTATACCACTGTGTTAATATAATACGTATACTACTGTACTACTATAATAAGTATACTACTGTGTTCCTGTAATATGTATACTACTGTGGTACTATAATAAGTATACCACTGTGTTACTATAAATATGTATACTACTGTATTACTATACCATTTATACTACTGTGTTACTATAATAAGTATACCAATGTGTTACTATAAATATGTATACTACTGTATTACTATAACATTTATACTACTGTGTTACTATAATAAGTATACCAATGTGTTACTATAAATATGTATACTACTGTATTACTATACCATTTATACTACTGTGTTACTATAATAAGTATACCACTTTGTTACTATAATAAGTATATCACTGTGTTACTATAATAAGTATACCACTGTGTTACCATAATAAGTATACTACTGTGTTACTATAATATGTATACTACTGTGTTACTATAATATTTATACTACTGTGTTACTATAATAAGTATACCACTGTGTTACTATAATACATATACTACTGTGTTACTATAATAAGTATACTACTGTGTTACTATAATAAGTATACTACTGTGTTACCATCATAAGTATTCCACTGTGTTACTATAATAAGTATACTACTGTGTTACTATAATATTTATACTACTGTGTTACTATAATAAGTATACCACTGTGTTACTATAAATATGTATACTACTGTATTACTATAACATTTATACTACTGTGTTACTATAATAAGTATACCACTGTGTTACTATAATAAGTATACTACTGTATTACTATAATATTTATACTNCTATATATACTACTGTGTTACTATAATATTTATACTACTGTGTTACTATAAATAGTATACCACTGTGTTACTATAATACATATACTACTGTGTTACTATAATAAGTATACCAATGTGTTACTATAATAAGTATACTACTGTGTTACTTTAATATGTATACCACTGTGTTACTATAATACATATACTACTGTGTTACTATAATATATATACTACTGTGTTACTATAATAAGTATACTACTGTGTTACTATAATAAGTATACCACTGTGTTACTATAATAAGTATACCACTGTGTTAATGTAATAAGTATACTACTGTGTTACTATAATATTATACTACTGTGTTACTATAATATGTATACTACTGTGTTTCTATAATAAGTATACTACTGTNAATATGTACACCACTGTGTTACTATAATACATATACTACTGTGTTACTATAATATATATACTACTGTGTTACTATACTATATATACTACTGTGTTACTATAATAAGTATACCACTGTGTTACTGTAATAAGTATACTACTGTGTTACCATCATAAGTATACTACTGTGTTACTATAATATATATACTACTGTGTTACTATACTATATATACTACTGTGTTACTATAATACATATACTACTGTGTCACTATAATAAATATACCACTGTGTTACTATAATAAGTATATCACTGTGTTACTATAATAAGTATACCACTGTGTTAATGTAATAAGTATACTACTGTGTTACTATAATAAGTATACTACTGTGTTACTTTAATATGTACACCACTGTGTTACTATAATACATATACTACTGTGTTACTATAATAAGTATACCACTGTGTTACTGTAATAAGTATACTACTGTGTTACTATAATATGTATACTACTGTGTTACTATAATATTTATACCACTGTGTTACTATAATAAGTATACTACTGTGTTACTATGATAAGTTTACTACAGAATCACTACAATAAATACACTAGGCTATTACTGTAATACGTATTTTAACTGTACTTTACTACTGTGATTTACTGCTACTTTGATAACTTTTGTATCCAAACCTTCGTGGAGAATAAGAAAATACCTTATCACGTACCTCGTGTTACTTTTTTTCTGAGTTGAATAATAAAACTTGTAACTAATAAATTACTGAATTGCAGTGTAAACAAAATTTGCGACGATTTCGTTTCCTGTACATACGGAAATAAATGATGACAAATTTTAAAGTAAAAACGTGGCGTGGCTGGTTAGCTTGCGGAGGTATCGTACGTCATGTGATGTGAGCTAACGAGACTTCACTGACTCCGTCTACACGGGTTAAAAGCCAACGTTATAGTAATATCAATCAAACAAACCAGACCCAGAGATTTATATTTGTATGTTGTATACTAGTCAAGTTAAAACAGGCTGCACATTTAGCATGTGAACTAATCAACTTGGTGTTTTAATGACACAGAACAATACAGATATTTGATGATGTGTAATGTAAAATCTGAACTTGATTGCACGTACGTTAGTCAATCTGATGAAACTACAAACTGTTTGCTATTGTCACAATTGTTGTAAATAACGTAAGCTTAGTTTAATCTTATCAAGGCGTGGAAACTCATTAAATGATATTAAAAAGATATTTCGACAAGAATTTGTCGGATATAGTTTTAAGGTATTTATTAAATTTTGATTTGTTCATTTTAAACATTAATAAATTATTGTATTTACGAATACAATTGAAACGTACCTGATGTCCGAACTGATTGCACGGGAAACCCAGGACGACAAGCTTATCCCCGTATTTCTGGACCAGCTCGTTCATCTGGGTGTAATCCCGTACAGTCGTGTCTCAGAGAGATGCTACGTTCATCACCAGGATCACCTTCCCTTTGTACTTGGAAAAATTTATTTTCTCCCCATCCAATGTATTGGCGTGGAAGTCGAAAAAATTCTGTAATTTAACAGGACTCCGGACACTGACAACCGTCGCCATGTCTGTGTATTGTCTCTCTAGTTCAGTCCACTCGAACGCTAAAGGTGTATAATCTCCAATCACCTCGATAGCTTTACATTATATTCAGCTCCAATGGGCACGTGACGTCTGGATAAATCTGTAGGGGAAGGTTCCGGAAACCACGACGGTCGATATTTAGCTGTTATGGCTGGGGCATGATATAATATACTGAAGTGCTTACATCGACAGCAGGCACAGGATGTCATACAAAACGGATGTACTAATCCAGGACATGATAAAGCCGTTGGTTACAATACATAGCGATGGGCTTGGCGTTACCGCCGTACCTGTAATTAATCTAAGTCCGTGGTAACACACCTTTTCACAGAATGTGCACGTTAATGAATATTAGACGAAACTCCTGTCTCTAAAAATCGTAATTTCAATCAATTTCTTTACGTTAAATAAGATTGTATTAAACCTTTTTTGTTTAAGAGACTTAATTAAGGTAAGACATAGGAGACAGAATTCGTATATGAAGGATAGTTTAATATCATCAATCATTATGCTTTTCGAATCGTGTTCACTAGCTAATGAAAAAGAATAACTACCATCTTGTTAAACGAGAATATCATTAATAAGACCAAGAATATGGCAATGTATTAGTTTTTATTGAGAAATATTATATAATTATAATAAATTGTACAGCTTTCTAACGGTAGAAATGCATCCAACTCGTGTAAGAGAAAACACTGTCCGCATGCCAATGACATGCTGAACATGAACACTTGATAGAACACCGAAGAGGGACGTTAAACAAACAATGATTCAATTGATAAATAATGCATTTACATAAATAAATATATCACCGCTTACCTGCTCAGTGAAACAAATCTCGGGACACATATTTTATTGCAAATAACAGATGTTGCAAACGAATTGGACACACGTTTTGCCAACTTATTGAAGTCCTCTTCGACAAAAAGTAATTGATTACAATACATATCACGCAATTTTAGAGCTACTTAAATATATATATGAAGAAAGATTGTAGGTAAGAGAGGGGACAAAGAAGAGATCGAGATATCTTTCGAAAAATCTTTGGACACAGCTAACTTAAGTTTAATTGCATTGTATAATTAGTTTTCATCTAGATTGAGAGTCATGTGAGAGTTCGTTTTCCACGAAGACGGAGCTTGTGATAAACTAATCGCTTTTCACACACCTTCAGCTTGTCTATTGTCCATTACATCCCATACCTTGGTTGACTTTCTCCTTGACATTCCTTCCTTGCTGTTGAAACCCGTTTCCACCTGTTCGTCTTCGTGGAAATTCCCACCCACATAGCATAATCAGTATGGATAAATATATTGTTTTATATAGATTGTGAATGTTAGCTGTGTACGGTACTCAGATACCAGTTGTATATGGGGAGGAGAAATTAATACATGTGTATAATGAAAAGTGCATGTTTTGTTGTGAACACAATCAAATCATAAAAGTAATAAGCAGTAAGTAAATAATATCAAATTATACACATAATACACATTCATTATCAATTTACTTATCATGATATATATCTCGTAAGACAAAGAGGGCAGAAGAAAAAGTGAGAAGATGTGAAAGTGTAGGGGACGCAACTATTCAAACCTGCGAGTTCTGTCTATGTAGAGTTGAACTATTCTTGCAATATTTGAGTTATCATTATTTCTTAAATTAATATCTCCTTTTAGTATAAGATCAATATTTACTTGACCTAAAAAGTAAAAATTCGGGATAGATTATATTTTGGACAGGTTAAAAAGAAATGGCTTGAATCCTCACAGGGATGCCCACAACTACATGCAGGAGTATTTCAGGAGAAGGGGTTCCAAAATGGAAAAGAGGTATTTAAAGAAAATGTAACGGGTTGGGTAGTTTCTTTAAGTCCAGACCAGAAACTCCGGTATATCCTCAACAGTCAGTTTGGTATGGGTTTGCACATCGTCTAAGATTAACAACTCTCAAACACACACGGCACGTTCCTTACCTGTAGCTAACATCCCTCACTCAACGTCAATATTAGTATATGAAATTATCGATACTTTAAAATAGGTTATCCATTGCTGTCCAATGATACTATGGAATCATGTGATATATTAACCAACAGAACAATTACATAAGTATGCCCTCATCATTGGTTGGACAAAACCTATCTTTACTATTGGTGTTCTGAATATTCTGAACTTATGAATTTAAATATAACCAAAAAGCTAAACTGCCAACATATGACATTTTAATTATGTAACAGATTTAAGAAAGCGACAGTCTTTTAGAAATGCTAGATGGATTTAAAGTAAAACGTATGTTTTTCATGCTTAGCACAGTAAATCAACAAGGGAAATATAGTCTACGTCATATTAACTTCCCTATAAATTATATTGCATTACTGATCAAAGCTTAATTTATATGCTTTATGGCGATATATGTTTGATTTGCGTGACATATTGGCCTGAGAAATTAATATCAACAAATTTACCCCTTCCATGTTCCGAAATCGGTTTTGATCAGATAAATTATACGTTCTGAACCAGGTACTTCCATATGTCCACAATAACCAGAGTTTCAACGACTAAAATTAACTTGGTATTTAATAGCACCCTAAAAACAACTTTTTAAAGATATGTTTGCTGATTTGAAATTGAAAAGAAAAATCTTAATTGCCTTGAAAAATAATTATTGATCCGTTCATTTGATAACTCATTTGAGGTTATAATATAAACTCAAATGTTGTATGATCAATTAAGTGAAATGTTTATTTATTGAAATAATGTCTTCCCTAAAAAACAAAATTTCAGAATATTTACTTCATAGTCCACGAGCGGCAACTTTTGACAACAATATTCAAATTGGTTAGGAAATCACTGGCTTTTGTGAGATGATGGTATTCGGAAAGGGAAAGAATATGATCAGCTCAAGATCCGGAATTTTTATCAACGCCGATCTCGAGTCCTTTTCTATTCACAGTGATTTGGAATTCGCTATCGTGAGTTTAACGACGAGGAAAGAAATATGAAATTGCATCAATTTCACCACGTATAATTACTATGTGTGAACATTCGAATAGTATCAATGGCCAATATTCTTCGCCCATTGCTCTTTCTATACAAAATGTAAAGATGGTTTCTGGCGTACTTGTATGAACCCGGCACACGATATTGAGGTTTCGGTACAATGCACTCATTTGGCTGTGGGAACTCGTACGAGATTAACTTTTAACTGTAAAAACTGCATCAAAATAGATACGTCCTTTTGAATGAATATTTACATCACTGTCCTACATTCGAAAGAAATGAAAAACATTTCTTAAGCAATACTGTGGATTACCTTAATCATGGAGTTTGATTAATTTACCGTCAATTGTTGACAATGATAGGATATTATACCACCCAAATCGGTAGGAATCAATCATAACAGAGAGTAGAAAAAGGGCCTGACCTTATATTGGACCGGGAGTAATGTGTAGTCCGGCATATATCCTTATTTTATATATTTCTTCTTCTGCTACCCAAGTTCACGTACACAAAATAAGTTAATATTACTGAATGTACAAATTCACATCTTAATTGCATAATATTGGCTTAGTGTCTATATGGCATCATGCCACTCGTCGTCAACATTTCCTTTAGAAGAATGTTAGTCTAGAACGACTAGATGGAAATAGACCATAAGTACGAGTAGGTTGATTTTAGCCTGTGTGGTACCCTAGTAACTCGTCTTGGGCTATAATGGGATTCCATGTGGTATAAACGAATGTTGCTGCTGAGGAATCAATGCAGATGTAAACCTTTCAATTATGATAGAAGGGATTTTTGCATAAACGAAAAGTGACCTCTCTAGCTGGTGACAGTGACGGTCAAAACTTGAGGCCGTGATTTTGTTCACGTGTAGCACTTGATGGCAGAGGAAAGGGCTAAAATTAATATTTGTAACCGATTTTTTAAAGGGGGTGGGGG